GTACCGATTAAGCTTTAAAAATTAATTATATCTTCACTCAAGGTAGTTAAATATTTTTTTAACCGATTAAAAATTAGTGGATAGAATTTAAAACATTATTTATGAAAATCATCGAAAGTCGCATATTATTTCAATAAGATATAAATGTGCATCAAGTGATCCGAGTTAATTTAATTTTTTTTTTTTTTTTCTAGTTTTTTGATAACAATTTTTTGTAAGGTTACGATGAAGAGATTTCAGTGAATATGTGATTAGAAGAAAAATTTAATTTTTAAATAAGGGGAGGAAAAAAGCTTTATTATTTTATGAAACTTTGTTGTAGACAGTAATGTGCATGATAAATTTTTGTTCTCAGTTTAAAATTACAAATATCGACTTTATTCGTTTTTAATAAAAATATTCAAAACCAGAAATTAAATTTACAAGAACGTACACAATAAAAATTACGATACTCATAGTTACCTACTATTTTCACCATAACTTCCAAATCTGATTCCATTCGTGCAACGGGATTTTTCTTTTAAAAATATTTCGAATGAAAATCCCATAAACGGTGATTAAAGCTACGAGTGTAACTATCAATACAGTTTGTGCACACAAAGCAAATATACGTTCTTGTAAAATTAATTTCAGACAATCGGTGACCTAAGAACTTTACAAAAGATGGACCTCTCTGTCAAATTGCAGCATCGGAGAGAGGATGGGGGTTCAGCCAAGGAAACGGATACAATGGACCTAGCTTAGTTACAAAAGGTAGACGCTTTGCACTCCCTACTTTTCACCCATATATCTTTTATAGTTGACTCGTAATTTTTTTTTGATGCCAACAGAAATTTTTATTATTTCCATCATTTATTGGTCACTTTCTAATAAACGCGTCAATAATGTCGGCCCAATTTGAATATAAATGACAAATTTTATCGATTATTTAATTACTGCTCTTTTGAAATTGTTTTTTCTATTGCAATTTCGTACAGAGAAGCATAAACAATCGATAAAGTTTTAGTGGCACTTTCAAAATATCATCTAATAATAAGAGATAATGATTTGCGGTTATTAAAAAGAGTAAGAAAAAAAAAATTATTGAGAGTACATAATTGAAATTGAATAACCACTGAACTGCACTGATAAATTAATATCATGCAAAATTAATGTTTACAATATCATTTTTTCTCGGGTAAATCTCAAACAATTGAAAAAAAATGTATAAAACTTAGTTTTTTATGTTCACCATAAGGGTTTTTAATAAATTTTTTTTGCTGGATTTTATTTTGAGCAAATGCTTTCTTGTCCACACAACGATCATCACAGAAACAAGCAGTAACCCAATCCCATTTTTGTCAACTTTCAGGTGGCGTACACATGTCAGCCTCGCGAGGCTCGCCACCGAGCGGTAGTTCCTCAGTCGGTGGTGGCTCCGTCCAGAGCAGCGGTGGTGGCGGTCTCAGTTCAGCTTCGTTGAGCTGTGGAGGCCAGAGTTCGCCCAACAGCACTGGCGGAGGTGCTGGGAACGGCGGTGCAAGTGCCACGGGTACGAACAACGGCGCCAACTCCTGCGACAGCGAGACGGACTGGCGAGGGGCCCACAGCATTGCTGCTCTGAGGCGCAGAGCCTCCGACGCCACCCAGCAACAACAGTACAGTCCGCAGCCGACGGGACTACCACCCGGGCCACCGCCTCAGTATTCGCATGACATCGAGTACAGTTCGGTGTATTAAAAAGGATTTTTTTACAAATGTTTTAAAAAAGTAAAATGAAACAAAGTAAAATGATAGACAAGAAGTGCAATCATCATGGGGGAGGATGTGTTTTGTACTATAACGATGATAGCGACCCTTTTTTTCTTGTCTTCGTGATAAGCTATATATATATACGGATGACTTTGTTGAGCTCTGTTATTTCATTATCCCGTTTATTGTTGCTTTTTATTTCTGCGTTTCCTAGTGATTCGTTTCAATTTGTATATACGAAGTTGTTTTTCTTAAAAAGGATGTTGCTTTGATAGAGAAAATATTTTTTTTCCCTTTTTTTCCTTTGCTGCTGGGGTCAACAGTCCTCAGTTACGTGAAATTTAGAGCTACATGATTTTATTGGAAAGTTAAATATACATAATCGAATATTTTAACATTGAGGATTTTCATACTCTCCATATGCATAATATTCATAGAATGATTTTCTCATTTGTAAAGATATAATTGAAAATACGTGAAATCACCATCCAATAATATATTTTACACCATTGGAACAGTAGTAATAATGAAAATTTTTTAATTCAAATTTTCATTGCGTTTTACTGTTGATCGTTCATGTAGTGATTGATTATATATTGACGATACTCCAATGGGAACTTTGTAAATGTGCATTTTGTTAGAAATTTTTGTAATTTTAAACAAATGGGTACAAGTAACCCTTGTTTAAAAAGATGTAATAATGATATAGTTTAAGGTGTAAGATTCCTGTAAAAGAATATTAAAAAAAAACTATCATCGTCAAGATATTGCTGACTCGGAGGGATATCATTGATTATATATACATAAATATTAATGAAAGATGCGACGCGACGTTGCGTTTCACAAAATCCATTCCGTCTCGCCTGTCAAGTGAGACAAATCGAATTGTATACGACGAGTTACCTTAGTATCGTATGTGACACTGTAAATATTAATAAAAGTAAAAAGAATCGACGATAAAACGTAGTCAAGTCAAAGCCGTGCATATATAAAATAATAATAATATAGATAAATAAACGTTGAGGTGAAAAGAAATTGCGATTTATAATACCATACTATTTGTAATACGATGGCGGGAGGTGTGCAATGAAACGGAAAAAATTTAATATGCAAAAAGGTGATGCATTGGAATAATGAATATTAGTGATGGACACATTATCGCATTTCCTTTGGAAAAATTAATCGTAGCGTATAACTGCTCACTGATTGAACTAAATTTTTAAGTAGAAACTTAATTGTCTCACTTCACATTAGGACGTTATTTTTGTTATGTACAATACTTGCTTGATGAGGTGGTTTTTTGTTCTTCTTCATTGACAGCAGTCGACCTATTTTATAAATACCCCAGTATATTTTTAGCCAAGCATATAGAGAATTAGTCCATCCGGTCTTTCTTACAAAATTAAGTGGACAGATGAGATACTTTTTTCTGTGGTCAGAAACGAAGCAGACAAAAATACGTTCGTGTCAATACTGAATCAGTGCACTTTGTTTACAATTGTTAAAGATTTTTTATGTACCGATTAAGCTTTAAAAATTAAACTGATGCACAGAATATCATGGCAATTTATTTTTTCAATTAAAAGCGCCTAGTTGAATTCATCACTCGTTGCATGATAATATGTTACTGCAGTATACTCATATATTAAAAATAAATACACATAGATATTTTTGAAAGATATACTAAAATTGTATACGCAACATGAAAGCTTCGGACTAGACAACTTATCTCGTTACATAATTTAATGCGAAACTATGTATCAATTTAATGTTATAATTTTACGTTTTAAAATAGGTGTACTAAATCTTTTTAAAACGTCAAGAATATCAAGTATAAGGGAAAATTATACAGTTTTATTATCATAATGCATCCATGTAAAAATAAAAGAATAGCAAGTAATCGTCGAATATATAAATGTGAGATTTCCCTCGAGATTTCCATCGTTGTCACCGAGATGATGTACACGTTTTGTAAATAAATTATAAGTTATATGCGTTGTACGTCTATACCTTACAGTTGTATAACGAAATTAAAGTTAACATATTGTGTATGTACATTCTAGCTGGGAAGAAAGGCAATTGAAATGTAGAGAAAAAACTATTAACGTAGTATAAGGTATTTCGAAAGAAAATAAATATTAAAAATAAATGTGATTGTTAAAAATAAAAATTACATTTAGATTGAACAAGAGAAACTAAGTATGATTCAGTATTTATTTAGTATTGATAAAATTATCCTTCTTTAATTGCATTTTTTCTCCAATCAACACTAGTTCTACACCGTCAGCATATTGTGTACGTATACGACAAAGTCAGATTGAAAGTGCGAGTAACATTTTTGAAATGGAGTTATACATAAAGTCTATATTATGTATTATGACACACCTTGGCACATTGTGATATATTCGATTGCGCCGTTTTTATTATACTCTCCCCATTTGTGGAGACCATTTCCTATGCCAAGAAGTTGACACACATTTGAGAGACACAGTACATGATGGAGCACAATTTTTGTTTTCACACTTAAAAATGAATTTATTTTCTCAAAGTATAATACACTACTTTGGCTGTAAATTTTTTCATTACAACTAATAACTGATAACACATAACACAACAAAAAATATTTGTCGCAAACAATAGTGCTAAAAATTTTTAGAAAATTACGTTTAACCACTTTACTTTCAAATATGAAAAAAACTTTTAGTTTGTAAATTTTTTCTCTTTCAAAATAAAAGTCATTATTTTGTTACGAAAAAATTTTATGAAGTACTATGTTATAAATAATAGTAAAAATATTTTTAGTTCAAATTGCAAAGTATTTGAAAAGTAACTACATGCTCAAATCTATTAATACGAGCAATAGAGCTAATACATATGCATAAAAGTTTCACATAAACACGATAAGGAAGCGGTTGATATATATTATACAAAAAGTAAGTTGAGTATTATTCCAAACGAAGACATTTTACTGGTCGTGTTTTAGTGAAATAAACAAAACTAGCAAAGAATTTTTAATCGTAAATATAAAAAAGCAGAGACAGCGAAACGACATTGCGTACTAATTATCCCATAGTATTACATATACACACGAATTTACCGTAGTAGCTACAAGTGAAATAAGAGGAAAGGTTAAGATGAATAATAAACATGCATAACTATATAAATAAATAAACAAATGAATAAATAAATAAAACAAAATGTATAACATACAAGTGAACTTGGCATGAGCTTGTGTATCGTGAAAATTAATTAGGTTTAGGCTGTACTATTATGTACCAACATTCGTATACGATTTTTCATGTACAAAAAACTACAATTAAAAAGTTGAATTAAAAAAAAAAAAAAAAAGAAAGAAAGATAGAAAGAATGAAAAATTGGTGACTAAGTGTAATATTTGTTGCAAACGACAATTCCGGTTCTCTTATAAAGCGCTAATTTTTGTTCAGAATGAGTTCGACATACCAAATTTATTTATAATTAACTTTAATCATGTATTTAGATTTTATTTAAATGAAAGACTCATAAGTGCGTTATTCCATCAGATAAAATAATGTTCACAAAATTATAATACAAAAAGTACATTATTGGCATTATAATTTAACTTACACAAGATAAGTACTTTCGTTTCCAATTATTATTTTTTCAAAACTAATTGAATCCGCAACACAAAGTCATTTACAAACTGAAAAAACCAGCTAGCAAAAAAAAAAAATATTTATTTTGGGTCTAAAAAATTCAGGCATTTCTCAAAATTTTTATTACAATAAGATAAACACTGGGGCATAATGCAACACAGATATCACCTCTAAATAAGAGGAAAAAAAAAGGTTTCATTTTATACTCAGTGAATGGTGTATTTATTAGGTAATCGGTTGATTATCGTGTGTATTACATAATATATGATCTTGTCGAGAGCACGTTACAATAATGGTGAAATAAAAAAAGTAAAGGTGAATAAAGGAATGCTAATTTTTATCGTTGTATAGTTGTGTATAGAAGTCAGCTGAGTGTGTAAAATAAATTATAATTAAAGTAGCTCTAAGTCTTTGTTTATTTACCTTCATGTGTACTAATAATCATAATGGATTAATCAATATATTTTATGGAAGAAAAAATGAACAGAAATTCAAAAACACTTACTTTTATTCAAAATATACATACTCACACACAAAATGGTATTTATTTGTATGTCTTCTCTGCTTTGAATGTACATTTTATCATATTTCTGTTTTGAATTTTATCCATACAACTAAATTAATGTTATTTCTCATAAACATGTACATGAGGAACTCCACAAAAAATCAGTCATCGTGTGTTTCTGAAAAAATTTGAAGATGTGTTTCTGTACATTAATTATTTGTCTTATATTTATACACGACTACTTGAAAGAAGGTCCTTATATTTTTACCAAAGCAAAAAGTGTAACTATCCACAAATCCAGAAAATTTCATTTTATCAGTCACAATATCGAACGCTGAAAATGCCTAAGAGACACTTTTTTTGGTGACAAACATAAAAACATTATTTTAACTTTGTCAGAAGCAAGTAGCAGATAATTTTTCGTGGAAATGCTCATATACATATCATAAATTTTTTTTACAGTTTGTACGTACATTTTGATACTTCCGATTATGTCAGCTACAACAGTACATCCAGATTATAAATATTAAAACGTATCGGATATTTTGGCAAAAACAATTCAACGTGAGACAAACAGATAAAAGTTTGCTCTATATTTACAAAAATACTGAAAATAATAAACCATAGACTCAAATAACAAAAATGACATTTATTGAATGTCATTGAAATAATAAAACTATGAAATATCATTGTTGTAAAAGTTAATCTTATTGATAACAAAGAAATTAAAATATTCTTAGTATTAGTACCTTCTTGTACACTTTACACGGAACTTTTTAATACACATGAATTCAATTGGAATTATTTTAAATATCACAGAAAAATAATTAAAGAGAAAGTTTTTTTTAACTTCTTCATTTTCTCTCGTTTTTAAAAGTAAATTATATTTGCGCAAGAAATGTAGTATGAAAATATGATTGATTTTATCGTTCATAAACCACAAAGCGTAGACTAGATGAAAAATATAAATTTGTATAGTAAATTTTTGAAGCGGTATCTCTGAAATTGAATGCATAAAAATTTGGTACTTCATCATTTCAATATTGTTTTGTTTGGTATAACATTTCATTAAATACTTTATTCGAATTCTGTGCGGCAGTTTGATGTTTATAATAAAATACTTTGGAGAAATACTTATAAGGAACATATTTAATATTATTTGAGACTTGTCTATGTAAAAAAAAGTTTTTAAATATTTTTTTTTTGTAACAAACATTTATTATAAGTAGTTTTTGGTTAAATTTAAATAAATTACCGTTTTTTTGTGTTTCTTGATGTTCCAAAAAATTGATTAATTTTTTGTGAAAATATTTAATTATATTTGGTTTGGTTCTTTACACATTTTCAGTAACTTGCAGTGACAGATTAAAAATATATATTTCTTTTTTTTTTGTATCTTTAAGCATTAAATCTTCTTAGAGTATACAATTGTTAAAGATCAATATTTTTTGTACGTAAAATATAGTTTTCAAGATTGACGATGCAACATCCTTGCAAACTTTCACGACCATTTTTTGTTACAACTACCTGCTTTCTATTTGAATTCTGTTTAGATCATTTTTTCTAAACTACTCTCTGTATTTTCATCGTCAGAAGTTTCGGGTTCAGTGTTTAATTTGCTGAACTCACGAGAATTTGGTCGTCCTTCGAAAAACAAACTGGACAGTTTGAAGTTGTTTTTTTTATCGGCATTCCATTCCGTTCTTCTTTTCCGCGGTGGAAATATGCATCCTGCCCACAAGAATATTTTTAAGTTCTCAGATATCAATAAATAAGTATTTAACACATTTTAACAAACGGACAACAAAGCTTTAATTAAATTGAGATATTTTTTACTACGCTGTCATAAAAGTAAAACAAAAAATTCATAATTATTAATACAAAAAATAAGATAACTTTCTAAACCACAATAACAATAAATTATAAATATGCCTCTATAAAAAATTTCATAGAGCTGACAAGCACACTCATGCAAAAAGTTTATTTCAAGTTTTTAACGTAACTTATTGTAGAGAGTAGAAAATTTTTTGAGTTGTTGACAAAAATAAAGATAATGAAAAAGAACACCTTTACTACGAACAACTAATGCAGTTTTAAACTCATGAATTCCTAAAAAAATGCATAATAATGAGCTAATAAAAATATATTAAGATAAATGTGTTGAGTTAGCCACCTGCCCTGTGCTAAATGCATAGAAACAATAGTTTTTTAGATGGTCTAGACTACAATCTTTTTCATATGAATCAACAAACGAATCAATTTCAACAAAATTTTGGGAAAAACTAATCAGATTATATATATTACCAAATTTTTTTTTTAAATAGCCCATTTACATTTCTATCAGAATACAATAGATAATTTATTTCCTTTTGTAATCTCATCTTTCACTTCAGAGTTATTGCTGAACCTTTTTAAATGTAGTTTTCAAGTTTAATTGGTTGACCTAACAAGCAACACCTATATAGAAGTTTAGGTCAAGCAAATCGAATATGAAAGTTAGACATTCTGTTGCGTAGCTTCAATGAATATTGTATTACTGTGATTCAACACAATTAACGAATTAAGAGGGCACACAAAAGTAAATCCTCATACGGTAACTGATTATTATAGTTCATCAAGCTGTAAGACACAAGACTACAGTAGTTTTCACTTGCAGATGATAGGACATTCAAACTTGTCACAAATAAAGAAAGCCATAAAGATATTAAAATCGGTTTTAAAATAATCATTATTAATAAATTCTTTAAAGATATCTTGGAAGGTCTTTATGTCATTTCCGATTCAACAGTCAAAACATTGACTTTTTGTTTGATTTTACATTAGACGTAAAAAAGTTAAATTCGATTTATTCTTTAAGTTTGTCAAAAAATCTCAAATTTTTTTTTAACTAAATAAAACAAATAAATAAATAAAGTAACGAATTTTCTAAAAGTATGCGAGGACTTGAGGTCAAATCAAATAGAATAAAGGACGTAAGCCTTTCAGAGGTTAAACAATTAATAACTATTCTAAATTTTATCCTTTCAGGGTCCAACAACATTTCGTTTGACAATCCTTAAGAGTACACTCATTTCATCGGCCTCATATGGTACTTCAAAGTAATTTTATGAGGATATAACTTGGACATGCATTAAGCCAGTACATACAATAAAAAAAAACCAAGCGCTTGGTTCATAAAACAGTTTTACGTAACAAATATAAAAGTAAAGTAATACAAACTGAGACAAAACGTAAAGTATAAGCTTTTTGTTTTTATTAATTAACTCAAGCTGCACTACTCAAAAAAATTTTACAGCTGTAACACTTAAAGAAAAAAAAGACAAAGCGGTGACAAACAATGAAAGCAGTTAAACAGTCGAAATATATCATTATCAAGGTCCAGATAAAATGGATAAAAAATGTTTTCACCGTCTGCAGCAGATAGGAAGCAGATCACTTTATTCACTTACTTAAAATCCTCATAGTACATCCTAATTTCGGTTTGTTTCTCCACATTATATTACACGGTACGAATAAATAAAAAAACATTAAAATTGTTACATCACATGCGACATTAATACGAAAAAATTAATAAATTAAAATACTAGTAAAACTTATGTACAAGCAGCATCATATGACGATTAAGAAATATTACATGTAAAACAGAAGAGCACATCTCTGCTGTTAATTAATACTTTCAAAAGTAAACGTACAATTCACTGACATTGCACGAACGGAAAACATCAAAGCTTTTAATGTGTATGCACTAAGTACATAAAAAAAATATATATGTTTAAATTAAAATAATACCAATAAGTTAAATAAAAATTATAAATAATAGTGTAAAACTATCTACACAGAAGATGTGACTAGCTTTCTAAATTGAACCGAAGACTGTTCATATTGAAATTGGCTACCTCGTTTTTGGTATCTCGCCACGAGTGCCGCCAGTAAAATACAGAAAACGATGAAGAATAAGGCAAAGACGATGGCCACTATTGTCAGCGTTCGACTTTTTCCAGGTTTTTTGGCTTCTATGCTAACACCATTCATGCTGCTACTCATCGAAGACTTGGCCAAACGAGCTTCTTCTGAAGTGATATTGGATCTTGTCTTTTTTGGAGATGGAAGATTTCTCGTATCTGAAACAAAAAAATAAAAATGTACGTTTATGTCAATCTTAAAGTGGTTCACTTATGAGGTATAAGGTATAAGTATAAGTACAATGCATTGATTCAAAAATATTTATATAGTCAAACCAATTAACATGTACACATATTATCTTCTACTATATTTGCGAGGCAACCTTGTTTCAACTTTTTTTTTTTTTTTTTTTTCATGCAAACCAGTATAGCTCGTACCGTTTAAAAATAAACATCAATTGGCAATTATTAATATCATTAAAAAAACCATTGATTTCTCAAAAAAATTATTGAGAGTTGAAAATCACTCCAAGTTAATTTATAGTAAATTATAAGCAGAAAAGAAAAAAATTGTCCTTTGTAAAATGTTGAACTCCCAAACTAATATTCATTAAACAGATAATCAGTCAACTAAATTACCGATAAGGTAAAAATTTCCAAACTATAAGTGTTAATTAATTTTTCCTTGTTGCTTCAAGTGCAGAGTAACTCCTTATCTCAAATTCAGTGTTAAAACTTTAAAAAAAATGTTTTATTAGCTCACAATAATGAGGACCAATGGTTTACGTGGTTTTGAAATCCTAGGACTACGATCAGACCACGATTGAAGCAATCACGTGTAAAAGTAACTTTACTTGTACAAAGAAACAGCTGTTGTAGTAAATTACCTTGATTGAACTTGTATATTTTGTGCGTATTGAGCTCGACCACGTAAATTTCACGTTCATCTGCTGTCACGGCAATATCGTGAGGACTGTCCATGTCAGAACTGGGGGCAAACTGTGAGAGTAGCTCGCCAGTATTGATATCCAAAACGAAGCCTCTGGTGTGAGTGTTTTCAGGGTACCGAGCACCATTTACCAAGTATACGCGATTATTTGCATAGGCGATACTGTAAATTGCGCCGTTAAACGCTGGATGTTTGTACTCTTTGTGGAATGTACCGTTACTCGCAAAGATGCAGACTATTCGTGCGTTTTCTCGATCCGCGATGAATATGAAGTCGTGCTCTTGGGCCAGTGCCAGAGAATGTGGTATGAGAAGTGCATTCTGTGGTGCTGGATTATTGTACATTGCTTTACCTGAAGTCATAATTGTTAAGTAGTCACAAATTACGAAAATAAATATACGTCAATGAAAATAATTATCACTAGTTGATTATCATTAGTAATACCTTCCATTCCCCAAGTTCTTCCCCATTGCAGTATTCTCTCTCCATTCTTATTGAATTTAATGACTCTTGAATTGCAATAACCATCACTGACGAAAAAGTCTCCGTTATCTAATACCGCGACTGCAGTTGGTTTACAAAACCTTAAATTGTCGTTTCCAGGTTGAAAAGCTTCACCCAGGACCAATGACGGCTTTATTACACTATTTTCAAATAAATTATTTACATCGACTTTTTCAGCAGAACTAGCTCTCTGACTGAAACTCTGTCGCATGAGCTGCTCCTTGTGTTTCTCAATGTCTTGAGCATCAAACTTGAAAACTTGGTGCATGGCAACATCTGTCACCCAATAATTACCTTCCGAGTCAATCGTTAGGCCGTGTGGAAGGAAAAACATATTTCTTCCCCACTCCAATATCATTTGGCCACTTTTTTCTAGTAGTATAATTGTACTTTGTCTAATAGGGCCTCTATTTATATTAAATTTGTTGTCTCTACCAAACGTGGAAGAGTCCCAGATTCTCTCGCCTCTGTGAAATATGCCGATATTACCATTTGGATGTATCGACACTGCCGATATTTGACCAATAAAGTCAATAGAAAAGGGCCACCTCATGTCCCACTTTATATCTGTTACAACAGTATCAAAATATTATTGTTTATACTAAGTAAGACGGCTATGTTAATACGTTAAATTTTTACGTGAAAACATCGTAATTAAATTAATTAACAAAATTTTACTGTCCATTATCGACATTTTTCTGTTTTAATTTGCGTCTTTGACACTGCTTTTTATGACTGAATAATTTAAAAATAATTTAAAGATGAGAAAATATCCCATGTAAAATTTTTAAAATATGCAAAGTTATTTTTTTGCTATTGGTATTGGTCAAAGTTCCATAAAAATTTTACTGTCGAAATTATCGTTTTGTTATGTTTTATTCTAACTACAATTCAAAAATTAATCAAGAGATTGATGTTGATAACCTTTAGTTAACAATTACTGTAAAAACTTATTGAATGATAAATTAAATGAGTTAAGAGTGACTGTGTTTACTGAACAATACGGAAATTTTTTTTAAATAAATTTTTCAAACTCTTAAAAAATGTTACTTTGATGTATGTATGTTAAAGCACCTTATTAAATTAGAAATTCGGCTTACGATTTTTTAAAAAGATATCTTTGAAACTGTATTAAAAAAAAAAAAACAGTGAGAGATGCGTTGTATGATTTCTTAGCACCTGCCTAAATAATTGAAATTTTTCCAAGAATTATATACATATATATGTAGTCAGTGTTGAGCGAAATTGCAAACGCGGACTTCTTCAACATCAGTAATTTTTTAAGTACCATCTATTGAAACTTCAAATCGTTACCACGTTAAAAATATAACCAGTAAATTTTTCTCACTTACAATTCACACACTACATTATTAATAATAAATGATTCTACATGTATACCATTACATATGTTAGATACATTGGCCTTTAATATTAAACAACACATGAACGTTTGATTACTGTTTCGATTACTGTACGAAAATATTAAACAATCCCCGAATTGCAATTTCACTCACCACTGTTTCTAGGACTAGTAAGTAAATAAATGTACTAACTTGGATCAAGTTTATCTGAAATAACACTAGTTGAGGGAGCATTCGACCAGTTGACCCTTTTGCGCATTGGTTGGTCAAGAGGGGAGATGGGATACTCTGGTCCACTATCTCGCTCATCAATTTCAGGATCATCGTACTCTTCGTCGTCAAACTTAAGATCCTGCAAATGATGAACCTTTTTCTCCTGAAACAAATTGATAGAAATGAGGAAAAAATGTACGTAACGTACAGTTCAAAAACTGTTTCAACTAAAGGATAAAGAAATAGCCCACTCACCACCCTGACGACTGCATCTGCGACAGGAAGAAGACAAGCCACTGCCAGTAGCAAAAAACAGCGGCAAATGATGCCACAGCGCATCTTCATCCTTATTTCCTGAAGCTCGTCTTTGCGTCATTAGTTGCCAAAACTCCACTTGGAGAACAACGACCACGACAGCAGTAACGACCAAAATGAAGAGAATCAGCAGAGATAACTAAACTTTTTTCACCTCTTTTTTTTCAACTCGAAAAAATTAATTAATTCCAGCAGCAGCAACAGATAAGCAATGGAACAATTACGAAAAACACAATCACATTCGCTAATATTGATTCAAGTGTTCGCGGTAACTAACACTGGTCTTTCCGTTTCTGCTGTTGCTGCTGCTGTTGGCGAATAAGGAGATGACGGCTGTGCCGCGTCGTCGTCCAGCATCCACTCCATTTGTGTATTCGACTGCACAATGCCATTTCGTTTGGAATTCCCACAACAACGCGTCACTGGGGTATACCTCCAAGTCTTACAAAATCCATATCTTTAGGGGAGTTTGTGACCTACGTCACTGCCGTACACCGAAACAAGGGCTGGAGATATCTCTTTATTATCACTACCCACTCCACCCACGCAATTCTTCTTCTTCTATCTCTCTTTTTTTTTGTATCGGAGACACTTGTTGAACGGAGCGAACGCGACTGTCCCTTTTACCAACACCCTACACCCACACCTTATGTTCAAAACATTGATCTTCGAATTAGCGCTGTACAGAACTTTCTCATTCTCCTCGTTTCAAGAAATGAATTTTAGACACTTTTATGGTATTGCCCCCTAGCGACGTCAATATAATTTCGTAAGTACACGTGTTTTGACCAAGTCTTTTTTTTTTTGGCACAACTAAACGAGCGAAGTAACTGCACAATATGATACTTGGGAATACTCTGCATCTCCCTCGGACATCGCGTCGATGACTTGAAAGGGAAACCACATTGTGCGCCACTGGGCTGTATGGTTCAGGACAACACCGGCCAATTAGAGAAAGATCCCCCCATGGCAATAGTAGCTACTAGTGTACCCTCGAGTCCTGTTTGCCCCGATTGGCTTGACTTTTGCTGTGCCATACTTTAGCAATGTCTACCATGTGGTTATACCTTTACCTACGTCATCCGCGTCTACGTGTCAAATTTACGATTCGGTTAGCGATAAAGGTCCTTGCGGCAGTTGCGCGCTCAAAACGGTACGGTAGATTATTCCGTTACTGGCTGTAGTAAAGTAAGTTGGGCCGGTAAGGCAGAAGAAATGGCCTATTTTTGGGGCCAAATGTTAGATGTCGAGACGGCATCGAATATCAGTCCATAAGTTTTTTTAGACCAGTTAATAATAAATTATCAAGTTTTTATGAATGCTTTTTGTAAACAATAGTCCGTATTTTCAACTTTCGTCAATTAAAAATCGTACAGCCTATAAAAAACAACTTGCATTATTTCCTTACTATTTTGACTGAACTTTTAAAAAACTTTACCCATTTTATAGTAAATCCATACGATTTTCGGCAAAAAGGCCTCACCTAAATCTTCACTATATTTTAATGTAATTTATAGTTCTTTTGGTGGAAAATAATTTTAAGAAATGGAAATGGCAAAACAGAGAGAGTATTATTATTACAGTGACTTTGTAGGACAATTTGTGTTAGTGACATTATTGTGTCCAATTGTAATAACAGAATAAGATCCTTATCTATTCTACATCAAGAAGAACCATCATGTTGCCTTATCCCTCACTTCGAAATAAATGAGAAGTAATCTTTCGCATGAAAGGCGTAAAAATGAGTCGTGCACTTGGCCAAGGCCCATTTTATAAACGTATACCTACAAAAGTATAAACAGCCTTTTTTTGGTACGACGTCGAATTGGAATCCAGCCAGGACGCATTTGTATAGCGTATGAGTAAAAAAGAAAGGAAAGAGAGCGGCAGAGAAAAGGAGCGAGAGGAAGCTGAAGAAAAACATGGTCACTTGTCTCAGGAGTACGAGTGTGTGTATATATATGTGCCATCCTTACATCCATTATAATTTATAGGTGGAAAAGTTTAGCGTTGTATGTGTATCGTATACGTACCGGAATTGGGGTCTCCGTTTTTTTTTGTCTCGCAGTAAAAAAAAAAAAGGGGGGGGGGATGCGTCTTATCCTCCGGGAATCAGAGTAAGAACGTTAGATTTGTACGCGTCCTTCCTGGGAATCTGGAGACGTTTATTGCTGGCGCATCACTTTGCGAAAGCGCGTTTGTTTGTGAGTGAGAGAGACAGAGAGTGAGGTTACACGTACATAGGGGGTGTGAGGGCAGAGAGATTTTTCTTTTTATTTGCACGGTGCCCCGATGGGTTGTTAAATCAACGCCAGCTTTACAACCCGCTGATTGCGGCCGTGCTGCTTTGACTTTTTGACAAAGGTATCGTGAAACCAAAGTCAAAGTATTTCCAACGCAAGTGACGACACGATTGATTTTTCGTATTGTTTCTTTGATGCGCGTGATATTGCTCATTTAAAATTCGAATTTAATCCCGTGCGAATCGATTTTATACGTATAGAATACACAATGTGTTTGTTATCACGTGGTGAAGCTGAGGCGATTATCAATGACATTATAAATTCATGCGACCGCAATTTAAATCTCTACGTCGCGTTATATAATTTGCATGTTACAAAGTTGCGTGGCGAATTTGACGTTGTTCACGTCGTGAGGGTATGTCTAAAAAAAAAAAAAAAAAAATCGAAACTGTATTTAAATGGCACTCGTTATTTCGGGATAAAACCGATGAAAGCTCAAGCTCCTGTCCTTTGATCGGTACGCGTGATTAGTGTTTATCAAAAAACAGCCAAAATGTATGAAACTCGCGGAAAAACTGAGCCAACCGAGTGAGCTTTGTTCGCGACATTATCAAAATTTTAAGCTCAATCGGGAGAGAAGGGGGAGGTACATTGCGGCAGCAGCTGCGGCGCGACGCAAGTCCAAAACTGTATGAACGAGTGAGCGAGCAAAGCTCTGGAGCCGCGTTGTCGCTCATCGATCCAGCCGTTCACCGCGACTCTCTGTAGTTTTGTACACGTACGATGTGGAAGCTCGTGCGCGTACGTGTTTATGTGTGTTTGTGGAAAAAGTGTGTGCTTGTGCTTCTTTTTCTGGAACAAGCACATCACCTTTTTCATCTCTTTATCTTCCTCTTTGAAAGAGAGTCCGGCGATCTTTTTTAACAACTGGTCAACAATAATTTTTTCCTTTTTCACTGTGGTTTTTTTTTTAATTTTATTCACGTAGATCGGTTGAATCGAAAGGAGAATATAATTGTATTAGCTCTAGAGTCTCACCAAAGTGCCAATTTTATAATTGTCACACAGAATAATATACATCATATTATTGCGGTTAGTGTGCCGTAATTTGTCAAAAATCGATGAAAGCATTTTTATTACACCATGAAAAAAAATAAGTACTTGGAATAAAAAAATTATGAAAATAATACTTACATAAAGTACATTGGTAATTTTGTTTAACTTTGGATATGACTTATTTAGAAGTTTATTATTTATCTTGAAAAATAATCTTACAAACAAAAGTTTTTTAAACCATCACCCTAACTACGTGAATCAAAGCTAATTTGTTTCTTTATTTAAATACCTACACCTCCTCTTATTTGCTAAAAAAGATCGCTGTCATCGTAAGTAATACAATTTTTTCTATATCATTTCAATACAAACACTTGTAAATATGTTTTTCTTGGCATAAAAGTTGGTTCAGTCGTGGGTATATTTGGAAAAATTTAGATCGGGCTTATGAAATTTTTATGATTTATGCTCATATTTTATGATAAAAAAGTACAATGATTACTTGATCAATATTGTTTTTTTGTCAATCTTGACATGTTTTAAATAACTTTCTTAAGCTTCTATCATTATAGAAGCTCATTATACAGAGTTATCTAAAAAAATGAAGTTTTGGTATAGTGTCTAGGCGATCAAGCACTGATCGTTCGGATCTAATCGTTGTCCTTAATCTCTCAAAAGATATCGAAATGTAGCATGACATGCTAGTCAGTAACGTGTCTAATACAAATCAATCAGCACTTTTACGGTGGTACCTTTTTCCATGGGTATAAAAAATTAGGTAGTTTTACTCAATACTTTTATAAGAAAATCAATTTTTCAGAAAAATTCTTTGTGTTTAATTAAATAAATTTCTTATGTATATTTTTTAAGTATCAATTTTCATGGCATGATAAATCATCTGAATATATTTATAAAGTTTCTGTCTTAGGTGAATAAACATTTTTATGAATAATTGTATTTGTGTGAATAAAAATACTAATATTCAAAAAGAGACGTGCATAATGATACCTACTCGAAAACAAAACTTTTACGACCACATTTAACGTAATTTACAGAATTACAAGTTGCTGTCCACGTATATGAGTATGATAACGTGATAAATGCGCACTTAAATAAAAACGCTGGTCTATAATAAGGATAATGAAGATGTTAGCGATAAAGAAAAAAAAGTCCTAATACAAGAACATCAGTACTTCAAAATGAGACATCAATACATAAAGATATACATAATAAAAACTTGCGATAATTCTATCATTTAAAGAAGAAATTAAACTCGATAAAATATTTGACTAAGTGGGGTTTTATTTTTTAACAGGTAATGGCAATAGCCTGGGGATTAAGTGTAAAATCAAATTAATTTATGGACTATTAGTTGTCAGAATTATTCATTAGCTTGGATTTATTTTAAAAGGTGTCAGAAATAGCACAGTTGGCACTCTGATTTTTCAATGAATCACGTAATGCACATCGGGCAATAGCTAAAACTATCGCAATGATTAAACAAAAATAAAGTAGCAATGCAGTTAAAAATCAATAAGAATGAAAGAAAGTTGGCATGAAAAATCTTTTTTTTTATTCCTTATCATTGCAATGAGCAGTGCGGCTTTGCTCAAGTTTATTGATGGTTGATTAAAACATTCCTTTGCAAATTATCCTATTGTCACTGCAATTATATAAATGAAAAAATTGGCTACGATGGTCCTGAATTCACGAGGCATACATATGTCCCGAAACCAAAATTTGTAAGCCGCATACTAAAATTCTTTAAAACAAGAGTCATGTAATAAAAAACATGCCTTGCATCGTGTTTATCACGAATATCTCTCACCCCTTACACGTAACAAAAGCATCCAAATTGCCCCACTTGCACACACATTCGAGGCATACAGAGTTTCAGGTATGTCGAACGAAAAAGTGGTGCAGTTTATTCCTCCCGTAAAATATATTTATATACGCTGTACACATAGATACACACATACACGTATTTGTACGTATAATGCGAATGCACGAGAGCAGACAATCGCGTGCGCTTATCGTAAATAGACCGGGAATTTCGGCTCGCGTGATTTGAATGCCGATGAAGGAGCCGATTCCCCCATTTCCCATCCACGTGTACACACCAAGGAGGAGTACCTACTTTTGATGAAGAGGCTGTGGTAATGTGGGAGTCTGGTCGAGCACACGAGGGCTTACACAAGTCGAATCGATGTGAAACAAAGTTAGGGGGGGGGGGAGTGGCTCGATTCTGACGATGTGGGGTCGCCAGCTATCCCTACGGGGACCATTTAGCCTATGTGCTCTTCGACAGCCTCTTTAAATCGTATAGTCTTTAGATCTCGTGGATGAGCGTGAGTTTCATTGACAAATGTGGGTTTGACGAAAATTCATTTTTCTGTTTAATCAACCCTTATCGTTTTGCCGAGCGAAAAAACATGACTTAAATTAAACTCCACCAACGTATGACAAAGATTCTTTCTCCGAGTGTAATTTTTACGCCTACAGCACTCAAACAGCTGCTACTACATACCCAAGAAAGCAC